GTTTTGCTCCTGACAAGGCCATGTGGGGATATATGAGGGTAAAGCCAAAAGTCCAATGGGGTCTTCCAAAATTTAAAGAAACCAAGTATGCAGAACATCCATTGAGGAAGACTGCATTTTGGGCAAGGCCAGCCCAAGAAAGAGGCCAGAGTATTATAGATAGCACAACTGGGGCTTGGATAACACTCTCCTTCCATCCACTTGAATTTAAGCAATACCACAAGGATAGTCATTCTTCTATCGTTCTAAGGGAAGCAAAAATAACAATAAGACGACCGAGGAAATCTCTGTAGTTTTAGGGCAGAACAGAGGTTTGTTAGGTCTCATAGCCTTATGTTTAGTAATATTTTTGTCACTCAAACCTTGCTGAATGTTCACACATATGGACTCCATATCATCTATGCAATTTAATCTGAGTGAACTTTGGGATAGGCATGTGTATTGGATGCCCTTGAGATGACTGATAGATGATTAATTGATAAATGATTGATAGATGACCTATCAATAATTTCTGTATATATTTTCTGGAGACACAATGAGATACACCCAGGGTAAAGTGCACTTCATTTAAACTGAAAGCTTGGTCTCTGTGTGCTTTATAATTCCCTGTTGTCCTGCCACCACTTTTTTGTTTATTCCACTTTTTTGCTTTGATTGGCATGGACTTGCCCTGAGCACATCTTCCCACTATCTTCAATAAATGTAGCAGGTTTTTTTAAACCATTTGATGTACTCTTGCTATTCTTTGCTCAGGGTACATAAGATCCTGGAATATATATATGGGACCCATCACATGGTATCAACAGGGCCATGGATTTAAAGGTGAGCTAAAATAAACGTCTCCTCTTTTAAATTGCTGGTATTGGGTGTATTGTCCCAGCACTGAAGAAAGTGATTAAGACACTGTCTCTTCACTTTGCTTATCAGTTTTTGCAGAACACATTTAGTTTTATGTGACCCCATTTAAAAATATATAACTTCCAAATTAAGAATTATTACTCTAAAAAGAAAATGGAATATACACTCTAAGAATTTACATTAAATCTAGTGAGGAAATGAGAATCAACGAAAATTCACGTTTTAGTGTCCTATTACCCAAGATTTTCTAACAAACAAACAAAACTACATTGGTTGACTTGAGAATTGAGAAGTCTAGCTTAATTAAGTGATTCAGCAGGGGGCCAGTGTTCTCACTTTGTAAATACCTTGAGCCTGTGAAAGAGGAGATCAGGGAGATGGTGTGGGCAGATAGCCTGAATACTGTATAATGGAGGAGAAGAGGCTTGCTTTTCACTTTTTGCTCTTGTTGCTTTTGCTGTCTCCTACCAACTTGAACTGCTGCCTCTCACCACACCACCATGCCTTGGAGCCAGCTGATTATGGACTGAAACCTTCACACACTGTTAGCTAAATAAACTTTTCCATCTTTAATTTTGGGTGTCAGGTATTTTGTCTCAGCAGCAAAAGATAATACCTTCACAGGCTATGGAAAACAATATTTGCTAATCTACATGTTGATTAAAAAGAGGTGAACTCTGAAACACATGTACAGAAATCTTTTAAAATATATCCCATAATAATAAAATATAACCTCTAATTTAAGAATTCTTTTGCTAAAAATAAAAATAGAATATACACCAAGAATTTACACCAAATCTAGTGACAAAATGATAATTAAAAATTCAGGCTTTAGTGTCTTATTACCCCAGAGTTTCTAACAAACAAAATGGCCCTACAGAGGGGCTGGGGATTTAGTTCAGCGACACAGCACCTGCCTGGCAAGCGCAAGATCGTGAGTTCAATTCCTAGTACCAGAAAACAAAAACAAAAACAAAAAAAGACCCTACAGAAATATTAAGCCTATTGTCATATATGGAAATGCATTTCAGTGTACTTATGGATTTGTCATGGTGCAAAATGAAAAATAATAACACCATTTAATTTGTTTAAAAGATAATACTGAGCTCCAGCATTACTGCATACATAAGCAGAATTATGTCAGCACATTTATTCTTAAAAGTAAACTTACAAATATGTACTCCAGAGACCTATTTAAGAATGAGTTGCATGTCTTAGCCTTGACAGAATTAAGAATTACGTGAGAGGGCTTTGATCCTCCTGGAGCCCTGAAATCACTCCATTTGCCTGTTCGTACTTAGCCTTCTCTGTACACTCATTCAGGAGAAGGCAGACCTTATCAGCCCGCAATAACTAAGGGATATTATTAACCCCATGACTGGCGCCTGGGCAGGGACATATAGTCCTCAGACTGAAAAAACTTTTAGCCTGACTGAGTAAGTCTACCCAGAATAGAAAAGTGTGGGAGATGGAGAAGGCCTTCACAGGACGAAAACTTCGCCAGGCACGCCTGGAGAAAGGAGGGAATAGATGCATTCCACAAGGAACAGGGGTGAGTCTTCCCACTGTGAACAAGCCATTTTTATCTGGGAGTAAAATGGACCAAAAATTTTCAACCAAAGAGCAAAGATACATAAAGCTGCTCCAAGGTTTGCTTAAATGCTCAGAGGCTCATGTGCCAAGAAAAGACCTAATAAAAATGTTACAAGAGCTAATCAATATAATTCAGGGTTTCCCTGGACAGGAACTGTAGATATTGATGACTGGGAGAGAGTTGGAAAACATCTTAGAAAGGCACACAGTATGGGAAAAATCATTTCCCGAGACATTCTCAGCTTGGAACCTAGTTCGTCCAGCTTTAAGTCAGTGGCAGGGCTTAGAGTCAGTAACCTCTGACTCAGGCAGAGGAAACAAGAGCCCCCAGTAGAGAAACTCAGGCTGGAGCAGGAGCCTTTCAAAAGAGCATCCCGTATGTACGGCTCTATCTAGAAACTTACAGATCTTAAAGGAATAAGCAGCCACAAAAGGAAGAATCACTGGCACCCCTGCTTGCTTCCCAGTTGGAACTCAGCAGAATGGTCATAATGAGGAGATTGTTTCTCCTTTGCCTTTTGAAATCCAGACGCTAAAAAATCTTAAACAAAGTGTTGTCAATAATAAGACAACCATGTGGGCTCAGGTTATGGCTGGTTTTAATAATACTGGAAGAGGTAATATAAGATGTTTTAACTGTGGAGAAATGGGACATAGAAAAAACTGTAGAGTTCTTGCAGGATCTAATGGGACAGTCGCTGCAAGTGCAACAGGTCTAGGGAGCAATGCCTCTGGCATGGAGGGTTTGGGTCCCACGCCCGGACTCTGTCCGAGATGCCAAAAAGGGAGACATTAGGCCAGACACTGTCATTCTAAAATCCATATGATGGTATACCTTTGCCAATAAAGGAGATAAGGGCCTTCCCTCAGGCCAGCCAAACAATAGAAGAAATATAACTTGTGAGTCAGAATATCAGCTTTATCCGGTGCAAAAACACCAGCACATTCTACAACATCCTCAAAGGTGGCTCCCCAGAAGGATATAAATTCCCTCACCAGGGGAACAATACAAAGTACAGGATTAGATCTTCCTGCAGCTTGTAGAGTCACTCTTATTGGGGGTGACAAACCTACCCTAATTCTCACAGGAGTTTGGGGTCCACCACCTGAGGGGACAGTTGGTCTTCTACTGAGAAAGGCTGATCTAATTTAAAAGGAATAACTATTGTGCCTAGTGTGATTGATGGTGATTGTCGAGATGAAATACAAGTTTTTGCATGTGCTACGGATCTCTGGGTGTTTGAACCGGGAGAAAATGGGGCACAGTTGATTTTGCTACCTATGGATAAACCCTCCTTTGTTAAATATAGACAGTTCATGAGGGAACAAGACCCTTAGAGCAGGACTACAAAAACAGAAATTTATTTTACACAGGAAGTGACTAAAAACAGGCCAGTGTGTTTTATAAAGATCAACGGAAAATGCTTTGAAGGCCTAATAGACACTGGCGCAGATGTGTCTGTACTTGCATTAGAACAATGGCCCACCATGTGGCCAACGCAAAGGGCCCTACCTCTTTAGTAGGACTGGGGTCACCTCAGCAGGTACTACAGAGCACCTCACCCCTGCCGTATGAGGGGCCAGACAAGCAAAAGGGCTTCTTTTCATCATATGTGGCACCTATTCCAGTCAGTTTGTGGGGAAGAGATTTGTTACAAAAGTGGAAATTAGTATTGACTAATGATTCTGATTATAACTGTTAACAAATTCTGATTCTGAAATTAAACAAGTAGATTCAAATCCTAAAATTAGACAAATGATGACTAACATGGGGTATCAGAAGGACAGAGGGTTGGGAAAGAACTTACAGGGAATCAAAGAGCCTGTAAGGAAAAAAAAAAAAAAAGAGCCTGTAAGGATTACAACTAAGAATGACAGGCGTGGTTTCGGATATCAACAGATTTTTTTCTTAATGAGGGCCATTGATGCTTCTCCCTCCAAAGAGCTCTGCCTTTGCAGTGGAAAACTGAGGAGCCCGCTTGGGTAGATCACTGGCCTCTTAACAGGGAGAAACTCATCCAGCTACACAAGTTAACTGAAGAACAATTCCAGCTGGGACATTTAGAAAATCAGTTAGTCCTTGGAATACTCCTGTCTTTGTTACTCCAAAAAAATCGAGCAAATGGAGGTTATTGCCAAGATTTAAGAGCTGTCATGCTTGCTTACTTCCTACGGGGGCACTGCAACCAGGACTGGCAAACCCAGCTGCAGTTCCCAGAGAGTGGCCCCTCATCATAATAGACTTAAAAGACTCCTTATGTAACATTCCTCTTTCTCCTGCAGATAGGTGCACTTTGCCTTTTCTGTACCTAGCTTAAACTTTAAAGAGCCAATGTAGCGATATCGATGGGCCACATTAGCTCAGGAATACAAAGCAGTCCAAGTTGGTGCCAGCTCTTTGTATGGCAGGCCTTACAGAGTTAGAGATGCTCTATACTGGCAAGTAGCACTTGCAGATTTTATGGGACAAATTGATGACCATTTTCCCACTGATCCCTTCCTTCCTTTTTTTCCTCAAGCATTCATGTACTATTCCAAAAATTACTAAATTTGAACCTATTTGTGATGCAGTAATCTATTTTACTGATGGTTCATCAAAGGGCAAGGCCGCCATTTGGAGTCGGGATTATCAACAGGTAAGAGAGTCTCCAGGAGTCTCTGCACAAAGATCTGAAGTTACAGGTATTTTACTTGTCATACAACAGTTTAACTCTAAACCTATTAACATAATTAGTGATTCAGCCTATGCACTCTACCTCACTCAGAGATTTAAGAGTGCAACCCTATATTCAGCTTTAGATCCACTTTCATTTATTTTTCAGACTACAAAAGAAAATTCATGATCAGTAAGCACCCTTCTATACTGGTCACATAAGATCTCATTTTAATTTACTTGGATTTTTAACATATGAGAATCAGCAAGCTGATTCATTAATCACTTTTACTACTCCATTTGATACAGCTAGACGATCTCATTCATACCATCACCAAATAGTAAGGCTTTACCCAAAGGATTTCAATTATCCAGGTTGCAAGCAAGACAAATTGTTCTGTCCTGCCCTACTTGTCAAAAGGTTCCTAGGCCTGTGCCACAGGAGTGCGATAACCCCAGAGGCTTAAAACATAATATTTGGCAAATGGATATTACACATCTTTCCTCTTTTGGCAAACTACAATATATTCTTGTATCTGTTGATATATATTCTCATTTAATTCATGCAATTTGTCACACAGGAGAAAAAATTGGCCATGTTCAGCAACATTGCTTGTCAGCATTTTGCTTCTATGGGTGTTCCACGCACCATAAAGACTGACAATGGGCCTTCATACATTAGTAAACCATTACAGTCCTTTTTCAACTATGGCACATTAAACACATTACAGGAATCCCTTACTACCCTCAAGGACAAGCGATTATAGAAAGAATACACCTATCACTTAAAACTCAGTTACAAAAACAAAAAGAGAAAGTACAGGTATTCCCACAAGCACAGTTAGATTTACCCATTTCTACTCTAAACCTTTTCAATCCAGCTGCAGACAGTAAATTGACGCCTGTGGAACTTCACTGGTCAACATCCCACGGTGATGCCCAACACAGGGCTCGAGTGCTTTGGAAGGACATCAAGGGAAATGGGAAGGACCAGTCCAGCTAATCACATGGGGAAGAGGTTAAGCTTCTGTCCTAGCAGGTCCACACGGTGGCTGCTTCCAGGAATGTACGACTTTGGCAAGAAACGCGACCGACCATGGAGACAGTCCCTTGTGAGGGCTCCACTGATCCAAGCCCTCCAGAGAAAGAGCCCGTACCATGAGGCTTGTGCCCAGGGACTTGCCAATCAGACAGGCAATCTACCACCAAGCCCTGAAAATCCTTTGATTGCCTCAATGGCTCCCTGACAATATCCCATGTGTAACACCTGTTTCAAGAGAGGATTATTGGACTTATGCTCCTAATCCACCATTACTTGGGCAGATTTTGCACCTAAGGTTTATCATGAACCAGACACTACTGCATGAACTATTGGCCCTAAATTAGGTAAAAGGTTTTTATTTTTTTTAATTCTTATGAGAGATCTTCACTAATTGACATATAAAAAATTCTGATGTCTTTGTATAATCACAAACTTAAAAAATGTATTATAATTCAATTTGACAAAAATATATTTCAGTGCACTCTAATTTTATAAGCAAATTGTCTTTTGTGTGTCTTTGTCACTTTGTCCAATCTATAAACAGCTGCTTTATTTGAGTTCAATGATTTTTCCTTCTTTTTGTATTTTTAAAGCATTTGCCTGTAATTTAATTTGGCTTGTAGATGAATGTCATATAAAATTAAGGATGTACTTCCGCCAAGGTTACCAGCTGGTCAAAATGATGTCAAAATTTGTGTTATAAATGTTATATGTATTATTGTCTATGTATTATGACTTGAGGGTCCCTCATTGTCAAATCTAATGTGCTAAATACTGAGATTGTACTTTTATGGACTATACAAATTTATGAAGGTAATTACACAAAAATCCCTTGCTGTGAGAAGAAACTGTTGGACAGGACTCCAGCTGATGAATAAGGAAGCAGCTGCCATGAAACACTCTTCCAGGCCTTGTTCATAAATGGGAAGGCCCAATAATCTCCATAGCCTTATGAGAAACACCCCAATAAGTATTGCTCAAAATAAAAAAAAAGAATGAGTTACAGATGACCACTCTACACCTATCCTTTAGGATACCCCTTTGATTGTATGCTTTCTGCAGAATTCTACACAGAAATAATGAACATCACATTTTCATATTACCTGTGAAAGTTTGTATTACATGAGTAATGTTCAAAAAATTTTGATAATGACATAACTGAGAACTTTTCACACTCAAAGGGCTTTGATCAAATCTGTTTTATTACCTGTGTACATCCTGTACACAGGTGGCTTCTCATTGTACTGTGTTGATTTGTAATATGAATAAAATCAAAATGAAGAGAGGTGTTCCCACAAAATATACATGTTGAGAAATCTAAATGACTATAGTTGTTCCACACAATATACACTGATATAGGTGTGTCTACAATGCAAGGTTTGTATAAAAAAATCATGTATAAATGAAGAGCTCTCACATTCTTTAAACTTACTCTAAATTGGAATTTGTTCATGTCTTCTGAGGTTGTGGGAAACACAAAATGCTTTCTCACATGTTCTACATAGGGTTTCTCTCCAGTGAGTTCCTTCAGGTATTTAAGGTAAGGGGTGTTCAGATTTTCTCCACTATGGTTTCTTCCATGTATGTAATGATGGCTGTGTTACTGAAGATTTTCCTTATTCTTAATAAAGAGTTTGTCTCCACTGTGAATCCTTTCCTAACAGTGTTGTAGTATGTATTCACAGTTAATATACTCCTGTGACTTTACTATCTATCATAACTGGGATAACTGAGTGATTTTCCGTATTACATATATATGGTTGCTCCTTAGTGCGACTTCTTTCATGTATTTGAAAATACCTGTGTACACTGAATGCTTTCCCACATTGCTTACATACATACGGTTTTCCCCAGAGTGAAATCTTTTACGTCTTTGAAACTCACTGTGAATGGAGACAGGTTTCACTCACTGCTTACACACACAGGATTTTTACAATTGTGCCTTCTTTTATGTTTATAAAATGAACTGTGGTAAGGAAACGCTTTCCCACACTGCTTACACACGTAAGGCTTCTCCCCAGTGTGACACATTTTGTGTCTACCGAATGAACCACTAGTAGGAAAGGCCTTCCCACATTGCTTACATACATAAGGCTTCTCCCCAGTGTGAATTCTTTCATGGATTTGACACTGACTGGGTTGCCTAAAAGCTTTCCCACACTGCTTACACACATAAGGCTTCTCTCCATTGTGGGATTTTTCATGTGTTTGAAGTAGAGTGTGAGACATGAAGGCCTTCCCACATTGCTTACAAACATGAGGTTTCTCCGCAGTGTGAGCTCTTTCATGGATTTTACAGTAACTCTGACTGGTAAATGCTTTTCCACACTGCTTACATATGTAAGGTTTCTTCCCAAACAATGAGTGACTTTTTTCATGGCTTTGATAACCTTTATATGAGATAAATCCTTTCCCACACTGCTCACATACATAGGGCTTCTTGCCAGTGTGTGAGCTTTCAGGTAGTTTACAAGTGGTATTACTGGTGAAAGCTCTCTCACACTGCTTAAACACATAGGGTTTCTTCCAAGTGTGAGCTTTTTCATGGATTTTGCAATAATACTGAGTCATAAATGCTTTTCCACACTGCTTACACACATAGGGTTTCTCCAAAGTGTGAGTTTTTTCATGGATTTGACAATAATACTGAGTTGTGAATGCTTTTCCACACTGCTTACATGTATAGGGTTTCTCCCCTGTGTGTGTTCTTTCATGTTGTTTATGACGACTATTACCGGTGAAAGCTTTCCCGCAGTACTTACACACATACAGTTTCTCCCCAGTGTGAATTCTTTCATGGGTTTGACAATAATAGCGAGTGGTGAAAACTTTCCCACAGTACTTACACTCATAGGGTTTCTCCCCACTGTGAATGTTTTCATGGATTCGACAGTAACTGTGAGTGGTAAAAGCTTTCCCACAGTGCTTACACACATAGGATTTCTCAGCAGTGTGACATTTTTCGTGAGTTTGACGAGAAATGTGAGTGTTGAATGCTTTCCCACACTGCTTACATACATAGGGCTTCTCCCCAGTGTGAATTCTTTCATGTGTTTTACAATTACCTTGTGTGATGAAAGCTTTCCCACAGTGCTTACATGCATATGGTTTCTCTCCAGTGTGAGTACGTTCATGTCTTTGACAATGACTCTTTCTGCTAAAGGCATTCCCACACTGCATACATACATAGGGTCTCTCCCCAGTGTGTGTTCTTTCATGAATTTTATAATGGCTGTTACTGGTGAAAGCTTTCCCACACTGCTTACATACATAGGAATTCTCTCTGTTGTGAGTTTGTTCCTGTTTTTTACAATGACTGTGTGTGCTGATAGCTTTCCCACACTGCTTCCTTACATATGCTTTAGCTTCTTCTTTAGTTACAAAGGGCTTCTCTCCAGTATGACGTCCTTCACTGCAGTTAGAGTAGGATTTCCCAAATTGCTTATACTCACAGAGTTTCCTTCCAGGGCATGTTGTTGCACGCGTCAGAATGGACTGGAAATCACTGCAGTTTTCCCAAAGTTCACTACAGGTAGAAGGCTTCACCTCAAATACCTGATAGTCATATGATTTGAGTACACTGTGAGCTTTCATGGGCACATCTGCTGATGCATACCCAATCAGGGAATATGTAGAAGCAAGGCTTTCAGTGGGTTGTGTGCCATTTGTTTTTCTGTTAGCCTTACAATATGGACTCCAAGAAAACATTCTATGTAGTTTCCATAATTTATATTGGTAGCATATCTCAACGTCTTCACTTCTATCACAGAAAAAAATAAAACAGTCAATCACATGTAAAAGTGTCTCCTTATTCATGATTTACCAGGAGCAGATCTGGTATGATGCCCTTTAAGAATATGTGACCATGAATTTAATGTACACTGTGCAGGATAGCTTGAATACAGCTTTCACTGAAACAGTGGTATTCACTTAGGAGCTTCTACCTAACATGTTTACAATATATAACATCCACTTCCATTTTGGAGAATTAGTGTACATAAGTACTATTTCTATTTTATACTCTTTCTTCTAAGAAACTACTGGAGCTCCCTTCAACTGAGCCCCTTTATCTTCTACAGAAAAGTCTACTTCTTCTTTTAACCATCTCTCATTTATTTTGCTCCTTAATTTACATTGTGTGTTTCTCATAGAAACTATGCCATATAATATTGAAGTTCTCATGCCTAACTTATTTTACTTAACATTATGGGCTTGAAGCCCATCTATTTTTTGGAAAATAACATCATTTCATTCTTCTTTATTGCATCCAATTCCGTTAGTTACATTTTTTTCAGTATGGTGATTTCACCCAGTGTCAGCACTGAGCTACATCCCAGACTTAACGTTTTTTCCTTTGAGAAGAACTCTCATTAATTACTCAGTTACGGCACCTGGTGCACACAGGAGATTCTGACTCAGAAGGCCCACAAACTGCTAACACAGGGGTTCGCGTTTGGGCCCTCCCTGCATGTGCCCTGCACTGCCTGAGGTACTAGAGCAGGCGGTACATGACTGCTAGCACCGCGGTTCACGTCTGGGCTTCATTTGCACTCTGACCACCAGGAGGTCACAGACACAGGCGGTCTATGATGACCGCCAGTGCAGTCCGCATCTGACTCCTTTGCACACCCTGAGCTGACCGGAGACACAGAGTAAGGCTGTGGGCGACCCGCTGACATCATGGTTCGCAGCTGAACGCCCAGAGAACCAAGTACTTCCCATCTACTTCCTGGGGGCACAGCAGGTGACCCGCGACCCTGCCGCCATTACAGTCTGAGTCTCCACCCTCCGTGTGCCCGGAGCAGACAGGAGATCCTGACTCAGAAGGCCCATGAACTGCTAACATGGGGGTGGGGTTAGGCCCTCCCTGTGCATGCCCTGTGCTGCCTGAGGTACTAGACCAGGCAGTCCACGCACTGCTAGCACCGCGGTTCAAGTCTGGGCTTTTCTTGTGCACTGACCTCCCAGAGGTCACAGTCGCAGGCGGTCCGCACTCACCGCCAACGAAGCCCACGTCTGGCTCCTGGGATGCCCTGAGCTGCCTGGAGACACAGAATCAGGTGGGCCACAAATAGTTGACCCTGAAATTTGTCTCTGGGTTCTGCCTGTGCCCTGAACTGCTGGGGACACAGGACCACTGATCAGGAATAGTGCCACCAGGGCAGCTCACTTTTGGGTCATACGCATGCCCTAAGCTCCAAGGGGACACTGGTTCACGGTCTGCCATTAGGTGACATCACATTTCAAGTCTGAGATGTGGAGGAACTAGGTACACTTCACCATCTGCCCGAAGACCCCAGACTAAGCAGCACATCTCAGTGGACACTGAGGGGCAAGCCTGACCACCAGGAAAACTAGGGACACTAGCCACCTTTGCTGAGCTGCCAGGGAAGAAGGAGACTGAGTGTTCTGGCTCCAGCATCAAACATGACAAGACGAAGAACTGAGACACAATCTCAGAACTCCACCCCACTCAGAACAAGTCCCTCTGGGGTGAGGGAACAGAGAAAAGAAAGAAGGGGAAATTATGCACGTATGCATGTACAGGATAGCTACCGCAGGTATACTAGTGACTTCTATTGCTTTACTGAAAGGAACAGTTAATGATTAATTATTTGATTAATCTTGCATGTCTCTATTTGTCTTCCCAAGAAACCACTTTGAAGATATCAATACGTAATACAACAACCATTGTTAATTTCCTACCACTTTGTGTGTAATTCTGTATTGTGTGTGTTATTCTTATGCTGTTTTGTAAATGGATGTCTGTTTGTTAACATGTTTCCTTCTTTTATTCTTAAAATAAATTTTGAAAAAATTACTCAGTTACCCAGGCTGAGCATGAGAGTGTGACATTTCTGCTCCAGCTTCCTAGAATGCTAAGATTCCAAGTATGCACCGCCATGCCTGGACTACTTTCTTGTTTTCTTTATTCACTCATCTGTGGGTTGGTATCTAGTTTGATTCCAGAGCTTAGCTATTGTGAGTTGTGCTACTACAAACATGGATATGTATCACTATAAACATGATTATTTAACTATCAGAGAAGTTCACCTGGATTGAATTAAAATTCTATTTTTAATATTTTGTGGAATCTTTATAGGCATTTCCATAGAGATTTGACTATATGGCATCCCTACTAACAATATAGGAAAATGTCTTGCAATAATTTTGAAACAAGAATAGAGTAATGTTTTTTAAAAACTGACTGATAACAGCTATTATCAATATAATGCGATTCATTTCAATTTTTCACAAGGTTAGAGATTTGGAAAATACTGAATATGTGTACCCCATTTAAAATACAGATAGCATTTCTCAGATAAATTGACTGATGTGAAAATCATTTTTGAAAAATATTCACATGTACACATAATTAGATACCCTGCACTTGGGTCCTAGCTTAAACATGAAAATTATTTCATATATAGCTATAGCAGATGCCTAAACATAATATCCTACAACATTTTTATAATCTTGCCTATGGAACAAGTTTTTGTTCATCCATGATCACTAAGACAATTATTACCTGAGATTTCTTCTCCAATATTTCCTGTCTTTTTGAATTTGCTGGTCAGTCCAGGTTTGTTCTAAAGTATAGAAACAGAAGGACAATGCTGAGTTACTACATTATTATATACAAATTAAGAGATTTCAGTTACATTTATGGCATTATATGATCTTGTCAGGAATATTCATCAAAATGCATTCATAGTTTAATGAATGAAACTTCACCAATAAGCAAGAAGCAATGCTAAGTACACAAATTAGAAAATGAGTATCTTCCTCACCTATAGCAGCCATGTTCTTAAGTGTTTCTAACATCACATCTCTGTAGAGCTTCTTTTGGGATGGATTCAGCAAAGCCCACTCCTCCAAAGTAAAGTTCACAGCCACATCCTCAATGGTCACTGCCTCCTAAATCATCACATATATATTTCCAAGAATAAGACTGAGACTCACAGCATAGAACACTTCAATTCCACTCCTAAACAGCTGAAATGAGCTTAAGTCCTTTAAAAGTTTACTCCACATCTTGGTCATCAACATTTATTCTTCAATCATATGCACATCTCACACAGGAAATCTGATGCTAGATTGGAATCCGTTGCTAAAGTCCCTGCAGAATGGGAGCACTGGTTCTCCTGCTGGTGAGATTCAGTTTTATTTGTACACTTCTCTAACGCACACCACACAGAGGGAGCCTCCCAAATCAACGTCCAAATAAAACACCAGGGTAGATGAATATCTAAGAAATTGTTCTGACAAAGTGTAGAAAATATCTCTTTTCTCAACCTCTGACTTAGATAATTCATCCTTTCACTCTCTGATTTTACTTAGTATTTGGGAATGTGAACTTGGTTCCATTGATTAAACCTTAATTAGACAATAAGTAAAATTCATGAAGTATAAAATTAAATCCTAATGAAAATCCTAATTATATAATTGAAGAATTAATTATATAATTAAGACTGTCTAATGATGGATTAATGATGGATTTAAATTTAGGAAAGTATATTATCTTATGTATCAGTGACACCAAATAGTCAATACCCCAGAGCTATAAAATATTCTAGTGTGGTGTAAGGGAGACTAATGTGGTGGACGGATGTGATTGAAATACATATGGATAGCATATCTACTGAACAGCAAATTTTGCTGAGTTAACTAAGAATCGAAAAATTGAAGAAAAACTGTTGCCAATTCTAAATCACATTTTTGATTTGTTAGTAAAATTATTGGTGTTTAGTATAATAAATATTAAATACTGTTCAATAACTAGTAAGCTGGATATTGACAGTTTGCCTAATATATAAGAAAGAAATTAAAAATTGACCATTTTGGGCAAGGGCATATGAGTAGAGTGAATGATACATAGATAACAGAAAATGAAGACAGTCTTCAATGGCTCGTATGTAAATAGAACACCCATTCATGACTGAGTTACTATACAAAGTAGCAGAAATCACAATCTTTCTACAGGACTCAGGGAAAACAGGTACTTATCTCAATACATCTATTGTACTCTCTATATCCCATGAACAATAATTAAGCTACATCTCGAAGTAGAAATATGAAGTTAAACACTTTGAGCAACCACAGGCAAATATATTTTGGAAGTGAAAAAGTGTTTCTTCAGTAGAAAATCCAGGAGCCATCAGAAACAGAACAAACTGAAATCTATGTCAATCATAGGCTGTAAAATAAACAAGAGTTTTAAAAACTTTGCAGTGTACACAATAAAAATGATTTGTGTACAGAGTATAAAAATCAATGAACAAATAGCAAAAATGAACAAAACATAATCGGGAGAAAACAACAATATAAAAAAGAACCCATGATCATGGTTAAAGGAATAATGAAAAGAAATGAAATTGTGGAAAGACACACCTACTAAGTAGATCTATCTATGAATAGATCGAATACTATGCTCCATTGCCATGCTCTTCACTTTGGAGTACATCAAAGCCTGCAGACCCATGACTTCATATAATATTCAGAAAATATATTTTGCTGTTGTTCCTGGAGACAGATATAATTGTTTTGACATCAGTGAAAAAAGTAAATGAGGTAACTTCAACCATGTTACCACTGAAATGGATAAGAAGCACTCTTCCCCGTCCCAGACATGAACACAATTGAAGCACAATGACGAGGAAATACACAATGGTTTTCCATGCAATTTTCTGTGCAATTTCTATAGTACTCCCTTATTAAACATTCCAAGGTGACAAGACTAAAAGAATAGTGCCTAGCAATAATAATAAATGGCAGACTTAGGAAAACTAGCGATAGAAATAGGAGAGTGGAAAGGACAAGAGTGAGTCAAATAAGTTTTAACCTGAATAAACACTGTGCAAAGCCCAGGTATAAAACTTTCCGAGGGGGTCACAGGATGTTCATATTTTTGTTATTATTAAATCTTACCACAGACTTCTGTGATGATAAAGTTTATTGTAAATATTTAAATATTAAATTATAACATCGAAAAATATATACATGTTTGCTTACATTCTAGCACGGTAAAATGAGAAAGTATTTACAGATTGGTCTGTAGGAAACCAGCAACACAGCTACAGACACGAGACCTCCGGACACACAGCAAGCTGGAGCCAGAATATAAGCTGCTTAGCAGGACAAGTACATGTTAGCCGGGCGTGGTGGGACACACCTGTAATCCCATCAATCCAGAGGCAGAGGCAAGAGGATCTCTGAGTTCAAGGTCAGCCTGGGATACATAGTGAGCTGAACTACTTAGTGAGACCGTGTCTCAACAAATCAAAGAAAAGAGAGAAAAAAAAAGGAAGAGTGCAGGTTAGAAAGACTGAGAAAAAAGAAAGATATCTGAGGTGATTAATACCCAGACATCCTACTTATGATGCAGAATCCATTGCAATCCTTGAGGGGAGTGGGTTTTATGTTTTTATGTTTAAGATATGGTATAAAAAACCAGGAGGACATGCAAAGCAGTATTTTTCACATAATTGAGCACTCAGGCAGATTAAGGCCAGACTCTCAGTGATGTACCAACTGTCTTGCAAGAGTGAAGAAAGGAGCCTGGCCTGAGAAAATATTGAGGTTAGAGGGAAATCACAATAAATATTTACTCCCATCAGTAGAAATTGGGTAATCAAGACATCTGTCAGATTCAAGGCTGTGAACTCCTAGGCTATTGATCGAATTACCTTTTATTGCAACACAAACAGCAGAAGTGTTACAAGTTAACACGGTCACTAAAGTGTCCGGCTGAGGCAGGAGAATGGAGAAGGATCGCCACAAGTTTGAGGCCAGCCTGGGTACAGAGTGAGTTCAAGGCGAGCCTGAATTAGCAACACCATGTCTCAAAAAACCAAATAGATTCTCCCCACACTGAAAATGTAACAGTGAACTCAGGACTCAACTGTCCAGTTCACCTGGAAGAACATAGAAAGGGACGTTCCCTCTTTAATAACAAAAATCCCAACTAACTTAATATCCACAACACCAATTTTTTTTTTCTTTTTTTGGAGATGGGTCTCGCTATGTAGTTTAGTCAAGCTTTGAACTCACTATGTAGCCAAGCTGGCCTTGAACGCTGGCAATGTTCCGGCCTCCGCTTCCTGAGTGCTGGGGTTACAGGATGTGCCACCACACTTGGCTAACATCCACAGCTCTTGAAGACTAGTGCAATCCATTGTTTCCAAACTGGAAAATATGGAGGAAGACTCACAAAAGTATAAATTAAATTACTCTCAAGAAATCAGGAGTGGAAGGATAGGGAAAGGACAGAAAATATGGTCCTCATGAAAGGATGACAGAAGGTTGAGATGTAAGAATAGACTTTGGGTGCAATTTGAAATCACCTAAAATTTTGTAGGTTTTTCCTCTAAAAGCACTATCAGCGTCCCACAATGACAATCAGAGAAAAGTTACTTCATGCTTCTTAGTGGCGTGGTGGGCAGAACAAAGCCAGCAGGAAAATTTTGGTGCTGAAACTAATTCTAACTTGAAAAGAGTGTTTGCAAGTCTCAACCACAGGGCAGTTTCTACAACTGAAGATTTAGCAGCAAGGGAAGGATCCAATTTTAATCAATCTATTGCCTTCAACACTGAGAAAAGAGCATATGATTCTGATTTTCACCTCATTACACTAATCATATATTCACTGAGGAGCAACAAAACTCAAAGCATACAGAGGAAGGAGAAGTTATGACTCACAAATAAGAAGAAACAAATTGAGGAAACAGCATCTGAAAAAGGTCAGTGAAAGGACAACAGGAAAAAGCTGTTTGCATCAAATAATTAGAATACACATTTAGATAATATGAAGAAGCCATACAGAAGTTATTCAAGGGCAGAGAATACCTGAAATGAATGTATTAGTATAGATTCAGACTGTATTCATGGAAAGATTCTGTTTAAATTGCTAATATCAACAATCTACTTGGTTGGTAAAGCCACTATCATATAAAATGAGGGACAGAAATTGTAGAGGGGATGGAAAATACTTGTGAATATGCTAATGTACATGAATGTGCCTGAAACAATAGTTTTATTGCAAAGTACACTCTGAAAATTTGTAACCAGATGTTCCTAACATGGAAAATTAGAAAATAATTAGGTTCAAGGCCTACAAGGTATCTTATCAACAGAATATCAAATCATATCAACTGTCCAATTAAAAACAGCATGGAGAAAAGAACTAAAAAGATTAACTAACTTAAAGAGATGTAAACCAAATAGAAAGCAGTATGAAATAGGCATATTTTCTTTATGCGACATTTGCATAAACAATTGAAAGACAGTGTGAAAACAGATAAGAAAACAAGACCCAATCTATATTTCATCAGAAAAAATCCATTTTGCATAAGAGGAGCTGGTGGGTTTGTGTACTGTTTAAAATACTTAAAATTTTATGTGGGCAAAGAAAATAAACAAGACACTTTTAAGCACTATTACGAAATACTTAAGAACATTTTCTATTCCTATTGAATTTTAACACAGAATTCAATTTGAAGTGTCTGCACTACAAAAAAATTAGGGAAATAATGTTGGCTTAGTTTAAACATCTGAAAATCTATCAATTTTTTCAATGCAACAGGCCTTAAATTTTCAATGTATTAAATTTCCATTTATTAACTAAAATATACAAATTCTTTAAACATATAACAAATATAAGATAAACCTAAAACCATACAATAAATAAAAACTTATAAGAAAACATCCACTTGTCTAGCATTGATTCAATACAACCTGCTGGAGTTATATTAATCTGACACTATTCAATCTGTACCTCAAGAAAATCAGGCTTACAGTGATCACAGAATGATGTGGAAGGTAATGCTCCAACAAAAAATAACAATTCCTCCCATATATCTTACTAAAAAGAGCTTCAAATAGCCTGAATCCAAACATGAAACTGAAGAGAAAATCACATATCCACATTTATTTTGAAACACCTGCAGATTTCAAAACACCTGCAGGAGTAATTGAGAGGTCAAAAAATTTCTAATTGTCATTAAACTCAACAGTATCCTCAAGTGGACCCACTGCATATTTCAGAATACTTCATCCAGTAACTGCTGAGTACACACCCTTCTCAAAATCACAAGGACTATTCAACAACACGGACCATGTTCAGAGCAACAACAAAGATCTTAATCTAAAGGGAAATCCTGTAAAGTAAGCTCTCACATGTTAAAATGAAACTAGAAACCAATGTCAGAAATGGACTTAGGGAGATTCATAATTACAGATTAAATCACACATTTTTAATAACAGGTGTCAAATGAAAGGCTTGATAAAATACTAAGTAATTCTTAGATAACAGGAAATAGGGAGAGAGATATTTTGCAAATAGGAAGGGGACCAAGACATGGAGTGGAGGAGAAGGGAGAGGAAAGAAATAAAAAATTAAGATGTGCTATGTACATGTGCCACCTCCCCACAAGGAATACAACCCTGAAGTACTGCAAACATGTGCTAATAAAAAGCAAACCAACAAAAATAATAAATGCACATCTTCTCATTTTGTGCACTAGAAAACAACAAAGACCTCCAGTGCTCCCCCTCAGAGAACCACACAACAGCAATGAGTAGCCTCCTAGAGAACTTTCCAAATAGCCAAAGGGAACCAAGGAGTGCTGCAGAGACTAGTTTTCCAGGATAGATTCTGGGTATAAAGGCCCCTTCTCTTGATAATCCTCTCTGCAGAAACCAAGAAAGCTGCACCCCTGCAGCACCCTCACGTACGCTAACCAACGGCAGAGGAACACCCCCTATGCCCCTGAGTCTGGGCAGTGAGAGGAAAAATAATTAAATGGCTACTGTCAAGTGCAGCCAGCCACTGGTGCCTCCATGAGTCACTCTCTGGCACTCTGCATCAGTACCAGGATCGCCTGAGCTCCCAGGCGATTGTTCTGGGCCCAGCCAACTCTGCCTGGGTCCTCAACTTGGTCCAGCCCCACCCAGTCTAGCAGGCATTGCTGACATTGGGTATGTTGAATCTGTGCCTGGCACCAAGGCTCACTTGTCTCCACCTTGTGCCCATTACCTGGCACACTTGCTGGGCCTGCAGGACTCTGCCTGGCTTCAAGCATCAGTCCTGGGCTTCCTGTGTCTTTAGTGGGTACCACAGGCACACTTGGGTCTCTACCTGGTGCCCTGGGCCTACCGAAGTCTCTGCTCATACCCTGGGACCCAGCGCTCTCCCGTTGTGCACCATGCATCAATCCCAGGCACATGGAGGACTCTGAGCAGTGGCCCCGACCCAACTGAGTCTCTTCCTAGTGCATCAGGGCACTCCCATGCTCACAGGAGTCTCTGGGACACAGCACTGGTCCATGGCCAGCTTGATTCTCAGCCTTGTGCCCAGGCTCACTTGAGTGTCCACTCAGAAACTGACACCCTCATGTGGCTTGTTGTAGTTTCTGTGTGGCAACCTGCATCAATCTGCAGCCTACCCGGGTCTCCCCTGAGCTCTCTAGGCCTACCTCAACTTCCACCTTTTGTTTCAAAATGCTCTTGCAACTGTTGAAGTCTCC